TTGTGGGATGGGGAGAATAATTGGAGGAGGTAGAGGAAGTGAAGCATGATTTCCAGTCCCATTAATGCACAACAAAGGGATTAATCTTTCACCTTGATTGCCATGTGGGATACCATCTTCAATAGGAAAGCTTGTTCCTAAAGATTTGGGAAGACCATAGTTGTCTTAACTAGACATCTATAATGGGAGAAATTCAAGTTTAGTGGATTTAAAGTCCTTAATATAACACCCAATATGAAATATTAAGGCTAGGACCCAACAAACTATTTTATAACTTGGAAGAGGGATGCCGTAATCCAAGCTAGAAAATATTTGAAGGTAGGTAAATGACAATTTACCAATTTCCACCATGAAAAACAAAATAAATTATTAAGTTTTAATTGGATTGAAACTCCTAGATCTTTTGAGATTCATTGAACTTTCAATGGCATGTTTAAATCTCGATTGTGCCCTCTCAAGTTTGTGACTGGGATGCCGAGGATCACAAACAAGGTGTGAATAACCATGCAAATTGACTTGGTACCCTTAATTTTTATCACCTAATCGATGTGCCGGTTAACCACATGCGCTCCACCGATCCATGATAAAACTTAAGTCACCATTTGCCACACATTGTCAGTCCCATGTTAGTGTGCCGGTTAACCACACACGTTCCACTAACGACTTAACAAAGGTGCAAAGTGTAATTTCATGGGTTAGCACCATTTCACATTTTCCTAAGTAACTAAGATTGGGAATTTATAAGTGTTTAGTTACTTAGTATTTATCATTATACTTTTAATGAAGGGAGAATTATAGTATTTATCCTACCCGTTCGGCTAACGACCCTCCACCAGTCAAGGAAGCGGTGGGTGAGAGTGGACACCCATTAAACTGCCATTTTATAGGCAGTAACCTTATACCCCCCTTAGAGACCGGCTTCGTGAATGAGGCCTACTAACGGTAAGATTGACTTTATCTTATACATATATATAACCATTAACTTTTAATATTATAATAGTATAAGGTTGAATTTTAAACTTTTAAAATTCTAATGTTTAATTTGGAATTATAGTATACATGGGGAGGTAACTTTGCAAATTCCAAAACTTGAGGGCAAGTATTGAAACTTTTCAAAACTCTTGGATTTTCATAACTTATGAGTTTAATTAAAGTTTTAAAACCTTTAATGAAGAGACTCTTGAACATCCATAACTTGAGGACAAGTTATGGAGTTCATAAAACTATTTATGACAAAGATGACTCTTCATTTTGTAACCAATTGCACTTTTATGAGTTTTAAGATTCATAAATGTGACTTTTCATATAACTTGAGTACAAGTTACAAAAACACATTTTATGAACAACTTGTAGATTAATTTGGATTGAAAACAACTAACACATAATTTTTTCATTAATCTAAATTAACTCATAAAACAAGGTAACACAAAAAAAACTTTTGGTAATCCATTCAATGTCACTAAGATCAAGAATGACACTAACAAACAATTTGCACATAATTCCTATGATCTACCAAAACTCATAAGCATGAACATTCATAATCAACAATTTTCAAGAATCATATAAACTTATATAAAACTTTGAATCTTTGATTATAACTTTGAAATTGGTTTACCATAATCATTACCACATATAAAAACAGGTTTATAAGTTCAAAACAGCTTAGGGTAATCATTCTAGTCCAATTCCAGCCTTAAAACTCGAAGATATGCTGCCTGGGGGTCCAACTCGTCGAGTGCATGAACCAACTCGACGAGTTGGATGAATTTATGATGTTTTTAGGCATGGACTCGTCGAGTCCCTCCCTGGACTCGTCGAGTCAGTTGTCCAGACAGCAAAAAACTTCGATTTTCAGCCTTAAAAAACAAGTAGCATCAAGTATAATTGAAAATAGCCCTAGGCTCTGATACCACTGTTGGGTTTTGAGCATTCTAACATACCTAAGGTGTTCATGCAACCCTAAATACCTTGGATCTATGTTTTCACTAATTATACATGCAATGGTGTTTCCAAGGTATTAAGCCTATAACTAGCATACAAAGATGTAAACTATACAAGATACTAGTTAGTGTAACATACCTTTTAATATGGCTGGAAGTCTTGATGCATTTGGCCTTAAGAGCTTAGCCCCAATAGTGTGGAAGCCTCAAGTGGAATCACAACACATCAAGGACAAAGGTAGGACTTGAGAGAGAATCTCCATGCACCCAAAACCACCATGAACTCCAAGAATCCTCAAGTATCTTTCAAGTGGCGATTTTGGCTATGAATGGATGTATTTATATGTGGGATTTCTAGGGTCATGGGTATAACCCAAATCCATACCCATGGGTTTTATGATCCATGGTTCAAGTGGCCCAACTCTTTATGTATCCATACATAAACTTGGTCCAACATGGATCATAAGCCCAACACATAAAAATATAACTAATTAACATAATTAGTCCCCATAGATTTAATTAGTCTCTTTTGATCACCAAATTAATCTCCAAATTAATTCTTGATCAATACTAATTAACTCATATGATTTCATATTAATATATTATATCTTATATATATTAATAAATCATATATAACACCTTCTCTCAAAAGTCCATCCTAACAAATTGTCCTGATGATATGCAACCCAAATGGACCATTCTACTCTCGGGTCAAGTACATACCAATAATAGTTATGGGGTTAGACATCTAATCCAACATGAAGTTTAGTGGAGTTTTGAACTCATGCATGAGGCCTTGACCTCCTTCTCACCATATGTGCCCTAACTTGAGTTCAGGACGTGCATAGTACATGCATGTCTTTAAAACATCGATTTTATGGTCCTTTAGGGTGTAAGAAAGCCTTTAGGAAAGTATGGATGAGTGGGTTAAAGGATCAAGAGCTTAATGAATTAAGTTGGCGAGAGCATCTCCCATGATGTGGAGGACTGGCCTTCACGACGTGGCGAGAGGCGGCCTCGTGATTGTTTTGTCCCGAGGTCACCACGACGTGGTAGAAGCATGGCCACATCATGTCGATTGGCTGTGAGACCCTTGGCTGTTAACTTTGACTTTGATCATTAACTTTTTGACCAAGTTTGACTTTAGGTGAATTTAGGGGTTTTGGGTTATAGTTTGAGATTTGGTCCCTGTTGGTTGTATAAGTGACATATAGTGCCAGTTATTGGATCTGTGAGCAGTGTTGTTATCTGCTAGACTGCGATGTGAGTTTTCTCGCTATACTTTGTACCAAGGTTGTCAAAATTGGGATCCTATATAGGATTGTTTTTGGGTTTGCAAGATCGGGATTAGAATCCTAAGATCCCATAAATAAAACATAATATTAATTTATAATTTTAAAACATGAAAAATATTTCAAACATTCAATTTTTCATTCAAAAGTTATAAAAACTTCAAAATATTAGTCATAAGTCACAATACAAAATGATAAATAGTAAATTAGTAAAGGGTAAAAGACATAAAGTAGTAAAAAAAAATCCAATTTCAAAAAAAAAAAAAAAAAAGAGAAGGTAATGTGGGATCCCGGTCCTACGATCATACCTGTGATTCTACCACAAATACGATTTATTTACGATCCGAGCCTCGTTTTTCATACTTATGATTGTAGGATTGTACGGTCCTACGATGAGGATCGCGATTTTGATAGTCATGCTTTGTACTGTAGTATGTATCCTTGTGTATAGGATGTTGGTATGTTGTAGTGATCTGTTAGATTGGTAGATCTGTATGATTAATGTCTTTTCTAGTTATTGTTTATTTGTTTGCATATGTCGACATAATATGGTTGAGTTGAGATGATACTGCTTTGTGTTGTAAGCCAACAAACCAGGGAGAGATCCAACTATATGTTGTAGGCCCGGGAGCGGTCCAACTTTCTGCCATAGGCTCAGGAGGCGGCCAACCCTGTGTTGTAGGCATGGTGTGTATGCATTGTATGTGTATTGTTGTGTGGGATATTTTGCGGGGAATTCACTAAGCTTTGGCTTACGGTTCTGAATTCCAATGTTTTCAGGTACTTTAGATGATCGGGGCAAGACGAAGGCGTGTTCGTACACATTCTCCTGCTGATTTATGTTTCGAGAGATGATTTTGATACTTTGACTTCTATGATTTTGTCTTGAAAACAATGTTTGATTACTTCTGAATTTTATAATGGTTTTTGAGATGTTATATATATATATATATATATATATATATATATATATATATATATATATATCTATATATATATATATATATATATATATACGATAAATGGTATGTTTACACACAACTGGTTTATTTTTTTGGTTTCTTAAATTGTTATTAAATTTTGTTTTTAAATTCTTTAAAATATATCATTTATTAATTATATAAAAAATACAATCTTTTACGTGCATTTATATATTATTTTATATATCTCAAACTAGTTTTTGTCAAATATTATGGACTAACAACTAATCGGTTATTTCGCCAAATAAAGACTCTGATTTTGGTCACTTGCTGACCAACCCTTGCAAAATGTAATCTATTGCAAATATTTATGTCATGCTTCACAACTTAAATATAAAAGTGCTTAATTTTGATGCTTTTTAAAACATTGTCTTCTAGATTCGACTAGGTTCTAGAATGAAAATAACTGCGTTTTCTATTTTAAAATAATAAATAATAGACATAAATTTATTTATCGAATATATAAATCATGCGTTTTAAGTAAGAAATGTTTTCACAACATCATTTTAATAGCAAAACTATTTTAATAAAAATTAGCAAATTAAACATGTTGGATCCTACGTAGCCAAACAATATTTGAGGTTCACGTTTTTACTCAACAAAATATAGTGCAATCTGTTCAATTACCTTATTACCCTTGTAGGATATTCCCGCCAAATTGTTTCCCTTAAATATTACAAGCTTCCACTCCCACTTTGTTTCAAAATAAACCAGTACACCAACCGTTGCCGGCGAAGTCAAATCCCTCTTGCTCAACTACACGCCTACAGTAGTAGCTTTATCGGAAAATGCATTCCATTTTTCCGACGATAACTAGATTCTCCGACCACCACAATATCCATCTCCGCCGCTACAACCGCCACCGTCTTTCACATCCTCTTCCACCGCCGTTGCCACCTCATCACCAGAGCACAAAAATCCTACACCTCCCGCATAATTTCGGAATCTCCGCCATAGAAGCCGCTCAACCCTTGGACTACAAATCCAAAATCTTCGAACGTATCACCAAATACAAAACTCTGAAAATTGGCATTGTAGGGTTCGGCAACTTCGGGCAGTTCCTTGCGAAAACCCTAGTCCGTCAAGGCCACACCATCCTTGCACACTCCCGCTCAGATTACTCCGCCATTGCTGCTGAGCTTGGCGTTTCATTCTACTTTAACGCCGATGACCTCTGTGAAGAACACCCGGATGTAATCATTCTCTGCACATCAGTCCTCTCAACTGAAAAAGTACTCCGCTCATTACCATTACAAAGGTTGAAACGCAGCACATTATTTGTTGATGTTTTATCTGTTAAAGAGTTTGCTAAAGATTTGCTCATGCAAATATTACCATTAGATTTCGATATTCTATGTACACATCCGATGTTTGGGCCTGAAAGTGGTAAAGATAGCTGGAAAGGTCTTCCATTTATGTATGACAAAGTCAGAATTGGCCATGATGAATCTAGAGTTTTGCGTTGTGAGAAGTTTCTTGATGCATTTGTAAAAGAAGGGTGTTTAATGAAGGAAATGACATGTGTTGACCATGATCAACATGCAGCTGAGTCTCAATTCATAACTCATACAATAGGGAGGATCTTGGAAAAGCTAGATTTGGATAGTACTCCGATTAACACAAAAGGGTATGAAAGTTTGTTGGATTTAGTTCAGAATACATCGAGTGATAGTTTTGAGTTGTATTATGGATTGTTTATGTACAATAAGAATGCAATGCAACAGTTGGAAAGGTTGGATTTGGCTTTTGAATCGTTGAAGAAAGAGCTGTTTGGTCAATTACACGAGGTTTTGAGAAAACAATTGTTTCGGACAAGGGAACGACATTTGGGAGTTTTACAAGAACCACGAGCTTTATTGAAGCTACCTCCGAATGGGAATGGACATGCACTTCCACAACGATCAGGTTCTGCTATTAGTTGAGAACAACAAAAGATTTTCAAAATCATTGTTTATGTTAATTCTTGTTCTAGTGTTTGATTATATGTTAAATGTCTTAAATACCATTTGGTAGAGAAAAACAAAGGAATCTTGTGGGTTCAATTAATTGTAACATCCCATGATAATGATATGTTCGAAGATGGGTGGATCAAGGGAAGTCCACATATTGAGTTGCCTAAAGCAGAAAATATCTTCTGCTCATTGTGTATTACCCACAAACTTGTAAGTAATGTGTTGTAAGTTTCCTTTATGATGGTTATGTAAGAATTGTGAAACAAAAGGGACAGGTTGCTAGCTATCTAATTCTTGAACATTTGTGAAGCAAAAAAGGAGAGGGATATTGGTGTGTTGTTTGGTAGGAAATTTTTTAGAAATGTCCAAATCTTGAGTTGCAGCGAAGTTAATTAAGTATCTACCAAGTGCTTCTGTTGAAGAAATTCTCAAAGTGATTAGTGCATAGGGGTCACTGGAAAATTCCTATAAATGCAAGCACATTTTGAATATATTTAATAATTATCATGTTGTAGCTAGTGTGATATATAAGAAGTATATATAAGTGGAATAGCAGTTTTGGGCAATCACGCAAAAGTTGGTTGGAACACTTTTTGACAACGAGTAATGCATGGTTATAAGCAGCTCGGTTCTGTTGGAATATTAATCTAGAATTGTAATCTCTGTGGCATTTATTAGTTATTAGTTACTTAACAGATGTTAGTTTTTTATGGAAGTTAAAGTTAGTTATCAGTTTTTTTTGGAACCGAAAGTTAGTTATCATTTAACCATTAATAGTTATGACAGTTAATTAACAAATAGATCTATATATACCATGGTTTAGAAATGATTATATAGCGCCGTCTGCTCCTGTCTCCTCCGCCACCATCCCCACCACCACAAGCGCTACCACCACCACCTTTGACACCAGCCGACCCCATCTTTGCCATCTCCGTTGCACTTATACCACCGCCACCTCTGCCACCACCACCTATTCTGCCACCAACTGTCATAATCATATATGATTACTCAATTTGTGAACAAATATATATATGTATAATCATTTATGATTAGGCATATACGTATAAACATGTATAATCATATATGATCAGACCTCTTTGCCATATAATCATTTATGATTAGGCATACCTCGCTACTGTCAGTACGCTGGAGCGTTAGAGCGTCAAATGAGAAATATGTGGCTAAGGTTGAATCTCAAGATCTCTATATTTTTTAATCTCAAGTGAATCGTTCCTTATATATATATAATATTATATATATATATATATAATATATATATATATATATATATATATATATATATATTAGTAACATCTCGACGATGAGGTATTTCCAAAATTAACCCTTAAGTATGAAGGATTATGATTTTTAGCCATTGTGTATGAGAAATCTTGCAAAACGGCCCATAGTGGCATTTTTTGTAATTTCAGGCCAAAGTTTAGTACGTTGGGCGTACATGTGCGGGTCTAGTACGTTGGGCGTATGTAACATCCCGTTTCCCATCATTTCTTATTTTAGGGTCGTGGGCTGGAAGTCGATTGTCTAAAATCTTTGGGCCTTAAGGAGGTAAATATTAGACCTTGTGGAAGGAGGTAATGATGGTTGAGAGATCTAAACCTTGAATTGTGTTTTGGGCCGAAGGGTAAAAAGGGAAAAGTCTTAGGTCGGGTTCATGCATGAAATATGGATTTTTGTCTGAGAAGTTTTTAGCCCAAGATATTTAGATAATATTGTAGAGCTCTTCAACACTTTTCCGTGGATATAAAGAACGTTAAAAACGGAGTTGGAACGAAGAAGTAACGACCGTTTGAATTTATGATGATTTTTGTGTTAGCCGTCTACGTTGGGCATACTAGGGCTGTAACACCGTAAATTTTCAAACAAATTTTTCGTTTCAAACACAATATAAAACACATGACGTTTTTCCTCAAAACCACAAGTAACAATTTATTAATACATTTTTATTTTTATGATTGTTTATCACAAATCCAGGATCCTCCAAACGTAACTCTTTCTCTCGTGTGTACAATCGAGCCGGCGCCTTCCCAATATCATGAAAAGTACCTGAAACACATATAACATAACACGGTAAGCACGAAGCTTAGTGAGTTCCCCAAAATACCACATACAACTCTTTAGCCACTCAAGGATATAACTCTGTATGACCCTCCGGTCAATGTGTCTCAGTGGGACCCTCCAGTCCCACAACTCTGATGGACCCTCCGGTCCTAACTCTGTAAACTCTGAATAACACATAGCATAAATCACACAGACATAATGCAGTAATATCACAGTGCTCAAACAAACACATAAGACCCTCTGGTCACACATAGATACCACTCTAGGTAAAGTATAGTGAGAAGACTCACCTCGCAAGCATGTGAGCAAATAACCTCGCGCTCGAATCTCGAACTAACCTCCGCCTACCACAAAGGATGAATATATCTAATTAATACTCTCTTCACGACTCAAATAACTGAAGGCTATTCTTTCTCTCTCTAACTCTTTGAAGTGGATAAAAGACCATTTTACCCCTCCATGGCCTCTATTACTCATGTTGACCAAAACCCCAAAGTCAACAGAAGTCAAACTCAAGTCAACAGTCCATGTTTGACCCGACTCGTCGAGTGCACTCTTGTGACTCGTCGAGTCCCCTCGTTTCCTCAGAAGTCTCAAGAAAAAGTCCAGCTCAACTCGTCGAGTTGACCCCCAACTCGCCGAGTTATCGCACAATCAACCCATCGGGACAAACCCTCACCGACTCGTCGAGTCAAGCCATGTACTCGGCGAGTCCCTTCGATCAGATTCCTCATTCAGGTGATTTAAGGCAAATCCATTACTCCAAACACTAGATCTACCATCCTAAGGGTCGATTATCACGTAAAGTTGCAAGCTTTACGTTTAAACCTAGCATATAAGACTCATAATGCCAATACATGCTCCCACAAGGGCTAGATGCACAAAAGCTAGACTCTAGCTCAATAAAGCTTGGATATTTGGTCTCTCAAGTCCTTCTACAGTCCAGATCTGAGGTTTCAACCTCATGATATGCTCAAATAACTCATTGCCAATAATGGATAGGAGAAAACCCTCAAAATCTCCCTAAACTAAGATCTCACGAAGGAAAGGTAAAGATAGGAGCTTTTTACCTTTGCACTGAAGCTCACCACTGAAGAACTCTGGATCTACAGCCCCTCCTTGATCAAACACACCAAGCTCTCCAAATCTCCTTCAAAGGATGCACAAAACCACTCAAATTAGCTCCTCACTCACTCTCTAGCTCTAATGGCGATTAGGGTTTGCTCTCAGGGGTGTAGGGTAACTGGTGAGGCGTAAATGGGGCATAAGTTCCCTTATATAGGCCCTAGCCTCGGGAAATTAGGGTTTCTCTGCCCAGAACCTACTCGGCGAGTCGGTTCTCTGACTCGTCGACTCCACTCATTAATTCCACGCGAGCAACTCGACTCGACTCGGCGAGTTGGACCCTCAACTCGTCGAGTCTCTCCATAAATCTCAAGATTAAAATACACAATAATGTACCTGAAAATCTGGATGTTACAAGGGCATCCCTAGTACGCTGGGCATACACAATCAGTGCCCAAACTCTATTTTTGTAGTTTGAGCCCTATTTAAGCTCTTTAACTTCCCCAAACGTACTCCATTCTCAGCCTCTACCTCTCCAACATCCTCTCTTGAAACCCTAACCCTAGTTTGAGCCTTGTGAGCAAAAAGAATGTGTTTTAAAGTGCTTTGTAGTGTTCTTGGTGCACCTTGGAGAAGAAGGAACTCATTGAAGAAACGTTGGTTACATTGGAGCTTGTAGATCTACACCTTGTTCAACTTGATCTTTCTTCTGGAGGTATAAAGTTTGAATCTTGATGATGAAATTGTTAGCTCTAGCTAGTTTTGGGTGTTATGAGCTTTTGGTCACTTTAATTGCATAAAGCTTAGATCTTTAAAGTTTGTGACCTTGTTATTGATAAAGTTAGAAACTTTATCCATCTAAACATCATATTGATTCAAATCTAAAGGTTGGAGACTTGGACTTAATGGATTAAGTTGAAAAAAATGCACTTTTGGTCCCTTTGAGACTTAAAGACTAGATCTTATTTGTTAGGACCATTCTAATGGAAAGGATGCAACTAGCTCGAGTACGTTGGGCGTAATTTTCGTATGCTGGGTGTACTAAGCAATCCCATGTATGCGGGGCGTAAGTTAAGTACGCAAGGCGTACTCAACCAGCCTTGGACTTTGACTTTTGTTGACTCCGTTCACCGTTGACTTTTTGACCAAGTTTGACTTTAGGTCAAACTTGAGGATTTTGATTGGTGATTAATATTTTATATGGTTCTGATGTTAGTGGATCCGCAGGAGCAAGCATTGTAGTACGGAGCGTATCATTGTGTTCTCGGGTTTCTTCATTTCAAGTAAGTTTTACCTCACTATACCCGTGGATCGAAGGCACAATGCCGGCCTACTAGTTTTGGTTATCTGTTAGTAGAGGGAAGCCTTAAGGACTGTGTATAGTCATGTAGGATAGACTGGAGACTCTTGATCTAGGATCTTTTACATGTTCCTCATTTGGTTGTGGTTCTAGAGTAGGATCACTTGTTCAGGTGTCTATCTCATCTATGAGTATATACGGTCATGCATTACTTGGATTGTTGATATTTAGTATGTGGTTATGTTTTAGTAATCTGTTAGATCTGTATCCTGGTATTGATTATGCCGCTATGTTGTACTGATCTGTTAGATCTGTATCCCGGTATCGATTATGTTGCTATGATGTGGTGATTCGTTAGATAT